ATCTGTAATAAAACGCATCAGCTGGCCAAGGTTTTCATCGCTCACTCAATAATCCATTAATACAGCAACGCTGCCCAGGCATCTTTATAATACCAACTCGGAGGTAATTTTAATCAGCTAGACCAGCTGGTATTTAACAGCAGCTGTTGGAGACGCCACAAATATACTCAATAGCTGACATCTTTATTTGCAGTTTTTCAAGGGGAGAAGAGATTCTCCTGTGGTTACTTGTATTAAGCATTTAAAAGAAGGTGTAAAGTATATAGGGGTTTATACCTAAATGAGAAGGGGGAGGGAGTAATGGTGAAACAAAGGTGATAAATTCTATCAGGAGCAGAGGTTTGTGAGTGAAGAAACTGCTCAAGTGAATAAGAATACATTGGCTTTGGACTTTAGATCTTTTTCCGAGTTACGTTTACACTGATCTTGGATATGGCTAGCAGTAAAAATGTGGTCTGTTGTGTGGCATCCAGATACTCCTTCTGTACTAGATTTGTAGTGTCCTTTACTAGGTAAAGCTGTGGAAAAGAATCTTGAGTCTGTGAAAGAGAGGTCTGTTCGTGTGCATGTGTTCTGTCTCAGCCCCTGCACGCCATGTCCTTTTTTGTTGTTTTATGGATATGTTTTATTAATGTTCGATTTTGATACTTTAAATGAAAAGGATCATCATCGATATGTACTGTCTAGTAGTAAACATGGAATGCCATTTCACATGGGGGTGTGTGAGCATCGGTGGGGGGGAACAGGCCTCGGCAACGTGAAGTCAACAGTCACAAACCCATTATAAATAAAAATTTAATTACACTGGGGGGAGCTTGGCTTACAAAGCTCAGAAATCCATAATGGAGCTTGCTGGTAATAAATGCCTGATCTGTTTGTTAAACTCCACTGTTCCCATCCTTTCCTTGCCTTCTTTTATAAAATACTTTGCCATCTCTACGGATTAGAAACTGGTAAACAGAGCTGACTCTGAGTAGTAAAATATTTTGCCTTTACCTCTTTGTGAATCTCCCCTTTTAGTTTAAAAACCAAGAGAAGAATTAGAGTAGAATAGGAAAAGGCAAAGGCATTGTTAGAGAAATAAAGGTCTTCAAGACAGTTACTTTTAGTCCACATTTATAAATGCGGGCTTTGCCTACAGATAGCTGTGTATTCAAATGTGTTGGTGATATAAATGTCTGATACTTATGTGAACAGAAGCAAAGTGGTTTCCATTTTCATGGAAAATTTCGTGTGTCATTTTTTCTAAGACTGATTTCATAATTAAATATAAAAGAAACTGATGGAGTTATGGGCCTTGTACACTTGGCATAGAAATTGTCTTGTCATTTCTGACTCTTGTAGAGCAATCAAACCTTTTTTTATGCTAATAGTTCTTGCTGGGAAAGGAAGCATTACAGACTCCTCAAAAAGTAAAATGTATTACATGTTTAAGTGTACTTCTGTACTAAATTATCAGAGGTTAACGAAATTTGTTGTGATACCAAGTCTTTTGCGGTTAACTTCATTTATCAGTGACACCGATTGTCTTTTTCCAGAGCCACATAGTAATCTGTCTGTGTTGGATTATGATTGAATACTGAAAATTAAAATCCAGTAACAGAATGGATTACTGAGGTAGCAGTTTGAATTTTGAAATTACTTAGCAAGCATTTTTTCCCTGTTATTTGTAGTGAAAACAGTCTGTTTAAGTTTGTTTAGTGTGTTTCACAACAGTTTGATATATTGCTGGGCACAGCAGTAGGTTGGACTTGAGTGGTATTAGCTCTCTGTGTTTTGATTAATGGTAATTGTTTCGATGAAAAGGCAAGTTTTCCGTACAACTCATAGTTCTGGAGAACAGAAGTCAACTTGCAAGATCCATCACTACTGTTCTGAGTTAACATATCAAAAGGGCAAGGAGAACCTGCCCGAGTAGCACAGTAGGGTTTTTTTGCTTTTTGCTTTGTATTGTAGTTAGAGCCTGTTCTTTATGTCAGAATATACATCTTGTGTTATTTATCTTTTGTTCAGCATTTGAAGTTGATTTATGACACATTTCTGAATCCCATAATTTAGTTTGAATCCCACACCAAGGTGAAATTTCACCTGTCTCTAGAGTCAACTGTAAAAGGGACCAGAAGCGACCTAGTGTAGTATAGATTACAATTTTTTTGCTTATTTTTCTCTAGTATTCTCTTGTTTTAAAAGAATGCAGTTTAGAAAAAAATTAGAAGGTTTATTTCAACACTTCAGAGATTTCTATTGCTTTTTTAAATAAAACATTTTACATATCATTAATGCACCCAAACTCAGGGAAAAATGGTCATTTTTACTTGGAGAAAATAAAACGTGCATTTAAGGAAGGACCAATTTTTGTCAGCCTAAAAGCTGTCAGCATAAAGCCTTTCATTCTCACACAAAGGTCTGTATACATATGTGAAATAGATGTGTGTATGCAAATCTACCCACAAAATGCACAACACTCTGCATTTAGGTTATCAGTAGGTAGAAATTGACCTTAAATGAGTGTCCTTACCTTTAGCAGGAGCAAAGAAAAACCACTTTCCTGTAAAGACTTGGGAAGGGGCTGGGAGAAAATGCCCTTACCATATCTAAGCATCCTTGTTTTAAGAGGGTGAGAAATTTTGTAGGTTGGAGGTAGTGCTAGGGGATTTTCTTTCTTTACTTCTCTTTTGCTTTTTCCCTACTAAAGAAAAGAACTAGGTAGTGTAGTAAGTGTAACCAGAATAATCTTCAAAGTGGCATGAATGGCAACCATGTTTGTGAAACTAAGGTTGAGAATCAGTATTTGCACAACCCGCCCCAACTTACTATTTTTTTAAAGAAGCGTAGAAATTTTGAATCTGTTGGGTAATTTCCTAAATATTTACCCAGGAAGCCTAGTATGATATTTTAAAAATATTAGTCCTCCCTGATAGAAGCAGGATTTTAGGTTTATATAAATATTGGAGGTTTGGCATAAATATGAGCACATATCTTCTGTATATCTTTTATATAATCCGCGTTCTTTAATATATTTGAGGGAAAGGGCGGGGTGGGAGGTGAAATCTCTAGTGCAGAAACTTGTGGCGTTACTCTTTATATCTAAAAGGGAATGAATGATCCTGCTCTGTAGTCTCCTGGCTTGAAATGCTGTTTGTCAGAGTGTTTATTCCAAGCAAAATTAAAATGAATAAACGGTTGTCTAGTACACACCTAAGCCTTTGACATAAAAAGAAATATAATTTAAACACTTTTTTCCTCGTAGTGAACAGCCATGTGTCATTGAGGCATCTTTTATTGAAAGGAACTTTATTTAAGTAGCATAAACTTGTTGGATGGGCTTCAATTAAATGATGATTTGTTAATGCAAATGTGTGGTGAATGACTGGTCGTACATCTCTCTCTTCATCCACAGGCCATTACTGTGCAGCGTTAGCACATGATTGTAAAAAAAACGAGAAATCATTATATGCATGTAGTACATATTCAGTCAATTCTGACCTTATGTCTCTGGCGAACTAAAAAAGGTATATAATGTAAATGTTATTTAATCTGAATAACAAAACAGCAGCACTTTGATTCTCTCTGACTCAAGCTGTTGGGTGATGTGAGGTGACTGCTGTTTGGGGATTGATGGTTATTGGTGGTCCAGTGGGGAAAGGATATCACTTGAATCCTTTGTCATTTTCCCCATGCACTCCTCCAACCTCAATTATATTTCAAGTTCTATTTTCTTTCTGTTTTTCTTTTCGAGAGTGGTTTGTGGAGTTGTGGTGAGAAATAGGCAATGATGACCACCAGCATGAGTGTGGCGATCGGTGACAATTAATACACACAAAAAATTATACAATTAGCTTCAGCTCCATAAGTGTCTAATGAGCCATTTGTCAGTCTTTTGGTGAAATAAACTACTCTATCTTAATTCTCCACTCTTGCAGCAAATAAATAAAAGTTATGAAACGCCTGGGCACCAGTAAAATATAATTTATTTCATAGGGCATGATAGAACTCTTTACATATCTAAAATGAACATGTTATTTACAAATGACTTGTGATACTCATATAAACCATGGATCTGTGTGCTAACTGCTTTCATTATAGAGATAGGCAATTTTTTTCTGATTGTTTAATCATTTAAATGTATCATTACTCCTAAAGGCATGTGAGTTAAAGTGACTCCTCCTGGTGTGATTAACTCATGAGGCCAAAAAGAACCTCAGAAATGAGCTGTTCTGCAGCTGAAGACATTAAGAATTTACTGGAAAGGACAAAACAATAATTTTCATTTGGGAATCTCTCAGCTCTTTACTGATTATCTTCCTGCCCTCATTTATTTTTAGGAACCCCAGCTTCTCAAAAGTTTTTCATCATCACTATGTATCAATCAAACAAAACAACATTGTAAGCTTCTTTCAACTTGTATTTTGTACTAGGTTAAAAGTTGTAATCACCATATGGTGAAAATGTGAACTGAAAATTCACATTGAAAATGTGAAGTATCATTCAAATGAAAGCCCAGATATTTGAAAAACAGTAATTAGTCGTTTTAAACAGAACAGGAACACAAAAACTGTTTGTCAGGGTAGCATATAGTCCTGTTCTTAAATGTAATCCGTGAACCAGTTGCATCGGTATTATCTTCGGAGATTGTTAGAAATGCAGGTTCTTCAGTCCCTGCTAAATCAGAAACTGTGAAAAGTGTCCAGGAATCTGTTTCAACAAGCCCTGCGAGTGCTTCTGCTGTCCACTAGAGTTCGTGAGCCACTGATGTATGCTGTAAAGTAATTGAAGCAAAAATAAACTTTAGGAATCCCTGATATATAGAACCCAAAGGCAAGTAGACATCTTTCAGCTTCAAATAACTTCCATGAGATCCAATTCGTCTCATTTCCCACTCCCCTTGGTTGGTTCAGTGCTACTTTTTGACCGCTTCTTTCTCTGTTTTTTTGGGTTTTTTAAATATTTATTTATTTATTTGGCTGCCCCGGGTCTTCGTTGCAGCATGCGAGATCTAGTTCCCTGACCAGGGATCGAACCCGGGTCCTCTGCATTGAGGGCGCGGAGTCTTAACCACTGGACCATCAGGGAAGTCCCTCTCTTTTTCTCTTTTAATTTACCTTCATTCTCTACCATCTTTGCAAGGTAATGATAAAGTTTTCAGGCAAGTTCCAAGTTATTCAGCCTGCCACTGTCTCTTACTGCTAACCAGATGTTTTAGCCTACAGTTCAGGGTTGCTAGTATTTCACGGTTAGTATTTGGTTTCACCATTCAATTTTAAACTTATTTCAAAGCTATTAATGGACAGTCCCCTTAGAAAGAAGAGAACAGGTTTCTTCCAGTGCCAGCCTGGTGAGTCCATGAAGCAGGAGGCTGGTGAACCTCTGGAAGGAATGGGTCAGGTACCTCCAGATGGCTTATGAGACATCATTAAGACTCGATGCTTTACACCTGCAGCCTGAATGATCCGCTGTTATTACTAGTAGCTGTAGATTGATCCAAAAAATGAAATTGAGTCTAAAGCGGAGAGTGGCAAGTGAAATCAGAAAAAAAAGACAGCTAGGAAGAATTTTACTAAAGGTGAACTAGAACCAGTGATAATTATAGGCAGTTTTGTTTAGAAGGCATTCCTAGGTCCCCTGCTACTCAAAGTGTGGCTAACTGACCAGCAGCACCGCATCTCCTGGAAGCTTGGGAGCAATGAAGAATCTCAGGTCCCACACGAGGCTAGCCTACTGACTCTGAATTCACATTTTAACAAGGTTCTTCGTAGATTTACATGCACATTAAAAATTGAGAATCACTTGCTTAATATATGAGCAGGCAGGGGATTGGGTCAGAGATTGGTAGTGAAGACATTACCAAAGCAACGTCACACTTTTACATGGGGACAAATTCTATGCAGGTGTGATAATTCCAAGGGGTATTTTTCAACAAATACACAGGACAATTGCAATTGTTATATTGGCCCGACTTACTTGATTTTCGAATAAATTCAACATGGAAATATAAAATTTGATTAATGATATTTAAGTTTAAGTTTTAATTGTTTCTTTCCCAGAGGAGAAGTTACAGTTCAAGTGGGTATTATAAGTGTGAAGGGGGTTACAACTGAGAGATGGTTTAGATTTAAATCTAAACTCTAAAAAAAATTCTGAGCTTAGACTTTCTTAATCTGGTTTTTAAAAAGTGGTAGAAGTGTTTGGATTCTGATATTTTAAAAACTCAGTTGCTTCATCTCAGGAAGTTAAAGAAGAAGGCGAGTATATTGTTTTTATTTTTATTTTTATAATACCAAAAGAAAAATTTAGGTTGAAACTTTTAGGTAACTTGTCACACCATTTTAAAAATTTAGTTTAGAGTTGTGAGCAAATCAGTTTAGCTAATTCTCAATTATTCATATTAAGAAGAAGCAAGAATAGTCTAAGAGGTGACTATTTAGTAAAATAAGTGAATAAGGAGAATTTGAAAAGGCCCGGTTATATAGTATTAAGGGACTAAACCAGGCTTACTTCGATATGTAAAGTCATCATTTAACAGGTGCTTTCAGGTGCTTGAGCTCACATGCCCTCCCAGCTCCTCTCTGAGGTAGACAAACACTGAGTCTCAAGGAAGCTGATGGGCTTAACCAAGTACTTAAAGCTGGTGGTTAAGAGAGCAATGTCTAAACTTTCATCATCAGACTCCTGGGCCAAATACCACCCTGTTCCAAAAGCATAAAACAGAGAAATACCCCCCAGGTTGTAAAACATACATGTAAAAGTATATAAAGATAAATTTGTAATTGGTGATTAAATAACATACATTGTCAACCTAGTACAGAAATTAACTGTTCTATGGAACAGACTAGAAAGTTCATAGATTCAAGTATATATAAAAATTAGCATATACTGGTAGTAGATAGATAGTGAGTATGTTCCAGGTGCTTACATATACTAACATGATAAAGGTGACTTCATATTTATGGAGGATATGAGACAATTAATCTATTTGAGAAAAATTAGGTCCTTACCCGAGTCCATACGCTGAAATTAATTCCAAAAAGATTTAAAAGTAAAAAGTGAAAGTGTGAAAACCTAGAAAAAATAGTTGAATATATTGTGTTCTTGGATATGGGAAGGCCTTTCTACATATGATTTCAAAGCAAGAAAACAATAAAGAAGATTGAGAGGTTTTAGAAAATAAAAACGTTAAATGTACGGCAGAAAAACCATCAACTGAAGGACAAATAAACTACGAAAAATATTTATAACTATGCTACAGAGGATTCATGACCTTAATATATTAAAAGCTCTTACAAATAATTACGAAGAGGAGTAACAACTGACTAGAGAAATGGGCAAATGGTACAGACATTTTGTTGTAGCATTTTGTGTGTGTATATGCACATATTTACTAATGAACATATTTTAAAAATTAAGTAATCAAAGCCATGTTAATCAAAACAAGAGTGATGTGTCATTTTTGCCTATTGGATTAACAAAGGTAAAACCAAAATAATGCACCCTGTGTTGGGGCAGTTTCATGGAAAGCATCAGTTCGATAGTTTATTTCAAAATGCATAAAACTGTAAATAACCTTTACCCTCCAATTCCATTACTGAGCATTTACTCACAAGAAATAATTAATGGTATACAGAGATTTTGCTTTAGAGATTTTTTGGTGATATTATTTATGATACTGAAAAATTCTATAAATGTAAATGCCTAAAAATAGAGGATGAGTTCAATAGATAATAGTGTATCCATACAATGGAAGACTATTCAGCCACTTATATGTGTAGAGAATAGAATTGGAAAGCCATAATCCCCGATTATTTCTGGGCTATGAGATTATCAGTACCTTTTTGTTTTCTTCTCTTTGCTTATGCTTTTCTTTTTTAGCTTTTCTGACACAAATACTGATAACTTTTGCAGTAATGAAAAATAATTTTAATAAAGTCATCCTTGACATTAGTTGATATGTAGAAAAATACATAAAACCAATTATTTTAAATGTAGATCAAACGTTTACCTTTAACTGAGCACTTACTAGGTACCGGTGCTAACTCGGGAAATACAGCTCCAGGAATTCATCATGAAATAAAGAAGTTGTGTAAACAAAAGGCATGTGAGTCTGAAAGACTTGTGTAGTGATGAAGGTGGATGTACTAGTAGCTCAGAAGAATGGTCATCTGGGCTTCATGACAGTCAGGGGGTGGGTTGAGCAAGAAGAGATATTGGAGAAAGGTTTTGGAGAAGTTCCCGAAATCCCTGGAAGGGGCAGAGCATTTCTGTCATGTGTAGAAATGGTGAAGAGAGCTGGACTTTTAGCCCGCAATTAGGAAAGACTAAAATGTGGACTCCATGTGGGGAAGCGGCCAAAACTGAGTCTCAGCAGGAGTTTAGATGTGGTAACGTGTTCATCAGATGAACAGTGCAGGCCAAAGTTGACCAGATTTGCATTCTAGAAAGATCTCTCTGGAGCAGAATGCACCTAAATAGGATGGCAGCAAGGAGACAGAGTAGACAACTGATGGAGTGTCGGGCAGGAAAGAGAAGGCATTTGGCAGTGGATTTGCAGAGGGAAGGATGACCACATGTCAGAGAATGAGGAGTCTTGGTCCTCAAGCATTGGAGAGGGGAGAGGGGGGTTTTAAGGGTGAAGTGCCATTACCTCCACCCCCAGATACAGGAGGAGAGAGGGGAGAGGGGGGAGAGGGGGTGCCATGATGAGTTGTGTCAGAGGATTAAGTTGAGTCGACTGTTCAAATCTCTGTTACAGTAACGTAATGTGATTTCTTACCGCATTTTCAGCTTGAATATTCCTTTTACAGTTATTTGTAATGTTCTCTTAATATCTTCCCAGACACTTTGCTTCATGTAAATGTGGTGGTTTAAAATTTTTCATTTAAATACCGTTTATCAGAAGGCACTATAGGATAGAGATTAAGAATATGAACTCAACTCCACCAGTTCCTCTGTGTGACCTTAGGAAAGCAACCTGCATCTCTCAGCTACAGTTTCTCATCTGCAAAATGGGCATAATACCTTTAAAGAGTTCAGAATTAAATGAAGGGCTCCATGTAAATCTCTCACCGTAGTAATCACTCAAATAAATGTTAACCAGTGTTATTTATTATAACTTAAGACAAACGGTTTATAGGAAAATACAGTTTTACAGTAGATATAATACAGAAAATATTTGCATATTTTTCTGAAAACAAAATGATTATAATATATTCGCTGTGCAAAACCAAGGGAATTCTGTACATATTAATATGACATTTTCAGAGACTTGTAAGTTGAAGAGCGCATGCCCGCAGCCCAGGATTTATCTACAAGGAGGTGATCTGTGGTGTCTGATTAAATTAGCAAAGAAGCAGCAGGGACAAGCCCTGGCGCTCTGGGTAACTGCGAGAAGAAATACACTACTAGACACACACCTGTACTGATTTTATAAATATTTGTGCATTGGATGAAATTGCTTAGATCCCTGGGAAAGAAGCTGATTCCCTCCGTCACTGACTCCGGAATCCATTACAGTGATATGTCCATCCCTCTGTCTAATCCCATTGCCCTTGCAGCTCTTCTGGGAAGAGTGTGGAGGCTCCAGAGGATGACACTCCTGAGTCTTCAGGGCACGTTGACTCTCCATCCTCAGCTTCCTAACATGAAACAAGCGCTGCTTTTGTTAAAGTTACAGTGACAGCCTCAGCCTGTACTTTCTTTCTGCCAGACAGTCACTTTCTCCATCTGCTTATTCTCCATCAGGTATTTGCGTCATGGCCAGTGAGATCGTACTTCACCCTTAGAGGCCGTGGGTGTGCCCGGCCCCTCAGCACGGTTGCACCCCAGCACTGCTGCTGCCCTCTCCCTGCTTGTGCTGACAGCCTGAATTCAGTGACAGCACTGCTGCTTTGGGGGTCTCAGACCCTCCATCGCCTGCAGGCCCTGTTTGTCCCCGTGCTGTTTTCATGCATAGACTTTTTAAAATTTTTATTGGAGTAGAGTTGATTTACAGTGTTGTGTTAGTCTCAGGTGTACAGCACAGTGAATCAGTTATACATATACATCTATCTACTCTATTTTAGATTCTTTTCCCATATAAG